CAACAGGACTGAGCTAAATGAGACATTGGGGGCAGGGTCCCCATCATCCCGTCTGGTTGGGCTCATCCCAGCCGCCTTCTTGGAGGTGGTGACCCTTCTGGGCAATGGAACCGTGCTGGCTGTTGTCCTCCGCACCCCTGCCCTCCGGAAAGCAATCTACCTTGCCCACCTCTGCCTGGTAGACCTTCTGGCTGCAGTCTCTGTGATGCCCCTGGGCCTGCTAGCGGCACCCCCAGGCCTGGGAACCGTGTACCTGAGCCGGGGCCAGTGTAGAGCTGCCCGCTTTGTCACTGCCACCTTGGTATCAGCCTGCACCCTGACGTTGGCTGCCCTTGGCCTGGAGCGCTACCGCTACATCCTGCATCCGCTGAGGCCCCGGCCCCGGCCCCCACCGATCTTGGTGCTGGGGCTCGTGTGGGGTGTGTCTGGTCTCCTGGGGGGGCTTTCACTCCTGGGCCGGCCTTCTCCAAACTGCTCTCTGGTGGCTGGTCCCCCAGGACCTTTCCGGCCTCTCTGGGCCATCCTAGCCTTCGCTCTGCCTGCTCTGCTCCTCCTGGTCTCTTATGGCAGCATCTTTCGTGTGGCCAGACTGGCAGCTCTTCGCCCCCCACCCCCTGCTCCTGGCCCACGGCCCCGCTCAGACTCCCTGGACAGCCATCTGTCCATCCTGCCGCCCCGGCTGGCCAGCCCACACCTGGTAGGTGGCAAGGCAGCCCTGACGTTGGCACTGGTGGTGGGCCAGTTCCTTGGCTGCTGGCTGCCTTTCTTTGCTGCGTGTCTGCTGCCTGGGCGCTGGAGCATAGGCGTAGAGGTGGCCCTCACCTGGCTGGCCTACTCTTCCTTTGCTGCCCACCCTTTCCTCTACGGTCTCCTGCAGCGGCCTGTGCGTGAGGAGCTGAGCCGCCTGGCCCGAGCCTGGCTCCGAGCAGTCCCAGGACCCTGGCACTGCCCACCGGGAACTTGGCTCCCCCAAAGCTTCCTGAAGCTCCTCCGGGGAGACCCAGAGAGCCCAGCCCTGGATCCTTCTGCTGGCCAGGAAGCAAACACAATGACTGCGGAGGGGCCTGGCCTGGACCGGGGAGAGACCACCTGAAAGAGGAGACTGGGGAGGGAAAAGGGGAGGAGGAAATCCTAAAATACCAGAGAGACGGAAGCCAGCCAGCCAAGCAGATACACATACACCCCTGCACTAGCAGTTCTCAGGGTGGTCTTGTACTGTGTCCAGCCCGAGCCTCCCGTCCCCCACGACTTTGCTAGGGACGAGAGCCCCTGGGGAGCCTCTGCCCCGGTTGGGTGTGTACGAGCTCTCCTTTCGTCTGCCAGCAGGCCTCCCCTGACACAACCAAGCCCAGCCCTGCTCCTCAGAGGACACAGTCTCCCACCCCGCTAGGAGCCCTTGGAGTCTCCCCCTTCCCCCGGGCCCCTTCGTCCCCAAGGCCTCCCAAACTGGCAGTGAGGAGTGGCATCCTCCCCCTACTCCATCCTTCACTGCTCCAGAGTGTCTCCCGTCCAGACCCCGCCCCCCACACACACCTATTCTCCCCGTGGTCAGATAGACAAAAAGGTTTCCTCGACCACGTCAAGGAGGTAACTAAAGGAGGTTGTGGAAACCTCCTCTGGGTCGGGATTGACTTTAAGACTCCAGCATATTCCAGGAATGGGTCACCACCCTGACGCAGGAGTCTGGATGGGACGACCTTGAAGTCCCTGGCAACCAGAGGATCAATGCCTGGGAGAAGTATAAAAAGCCAGGCCGGACTGGATGGGGCCAAGAGCCAGAGCCAAGACTGCAGGATCAGGAATCCTCACACAGCTACTCGGGGTGAGGATAGAGAATTGAGGGGGGGCCCAACCGGGTGAGGTGGGGAGAGACCCTCCGGGGGGCCCCAAAACAAGGATGCTCCTTGGGCCATGGAAGCACATGGGAAACGTGTTCTTAAAGATGACTTTAGTCTTGTCTCCCCCTTAGCTCTCTGCCTATCCCTTTCCCCAATTCAAACTGGAGACATCCAGGTCACTGAGAATATTTATTCAAAAACTGGATTGAAAAAACTGTACAGAGTCTTGGCTGCTGAGAGCGCGCCTGCCCCACCCCCTCCCCCATCCCCACCCCCAGCTGCCTGGCAGTGCCCCCCAATCCTGGCCCCTACCCCCCTGCTATGCCCCTTCCCAGCCAGCCTGTTCCAGTCAAGAGGATGTTGCTCAAGCAGCAGGAGCCCTATGTGGGTGGAGAACAGGGGGAGCCTGCGTGGATGTGAGGGAGCCCCTCGAGAGGGGGCCCCAGAGGCTCTTCTCTCCCCTGGGATTTCCTGTATCCCAGTCAGGGATGAGCAGGGGGCAGGGAAAGGGAAAGGGGCTCAGTCCCTTTGGCCAGGCAGTTGGTCTGGGGCTACATAACTGTCTCTGCCATCTCTTCCCTCTCCCGCTGGCTTCCTAGAATTGGGTCAGCACCTGCCCCCCCACAACTTGGCCTGAGATAAGAGATCCTGGATGGACAGCACTGGCTGAGGCCACGGGGCCCTAAAATCCATGCGTATGGGTGTCAACGTTGCTAGGGAATCGTCTGCCTTGGCCCCTAGTGTGTTTGTGGTGGGGGTGGGGGTCAGGGGAGAAGCAGAACGGGGCTCCCAAGGAGCAGGAGTCAGGACTGTTCCCCGCCCTGCGGTGTCACTCCCTGGCTCCCGGCTCCTTCCCTGGCTTTAGTAGGGGGAGAACTTCTGCCTTTCTGATTTCTTGTTGCCATTGGCAGCTGCCATCTTGGCAGTGTAGGCAGTGAGGCCGCTGGGAGGTGGCCCTGGTGAAGATGGGGGCAGGGCCAGGAAGGGCACGGGCTTGAGGCCGATGAAGTTGGAAAGGGAGATAGCATAGGGGGTGCCCAGTAGGCCTGGAGGTGCCGCAGGCAGGGCAGTCAGGGCTGGTGATGGGGCCAAGGGTGGGGAGAAGGGGGCTGACAGGTCTGCAGGACCCGAGCCTGGGGTCCCTCCTGAGGTAGACTTGGCCGTCTCTAAACTGGAGGCAGAGGTAGAGAAGGGGGACAAAAGAGGATAAAGACATTGGCCAGACAGAGAGAAAGAGACATCAGGAAGAGAAGAAAGAAGAAATGAGAAGGAAAGGTAGATATTAGAGGCAGATGATTGGGCAGAAGGTGGGGTCAAAGAAACAAAGACAGATGAGGGAATGGGGAGAAAAATGGCACATGGGGAGAGAAGAGGGGAGAAATGAAGGGGAAAGCGAGGCAGTTGAGAATGACCAGGGAGGGGTAAGAGGAGAGCAGACAGAAGGGTAGAGTAGAGATGTGGAAAGAGGGAGGGATGAAAACGGGAAAGAGAACAGGAAAGGTGGAAGGCAGAGAGACAAGGAGAGGGAGAGAAACAGATATGATGGGGGGGAGGGGAGCAAGGGAGAGACAAAAGTCAACATCAGCCAGTGTTTCCGGGTCTTGGCTCACCCACATGTCCTGCACCTTGAGAAGGTACTTGGAGTGGGTTGAGGAATATGAGACTGGGGGTGTTTTTCTCCCTCCCCCCAGGGTCCAGTTCTTCCCTCCCCCAAGGGCTCTACTCATTCTCCATCTTCCCCAAAGCTCACCAGGCAGTGATGAGGTACTGCGCCAGAGCGATGGAGACAGGGGAGCCCGTAATGGTAACATGCCGCTCCCCTGAGCCCTCTGCCTGATTCCCAATCTTGATGTGGGCCCCTGACATCTGCCGGATCTCACTGATCTTGCTGCCCTGACGCCCGATCACACAGCCAATCAGCTAAAGGGAATGGAGAGGCCGTCAGTCCTGAGACTTTGGTCTCATCCTCTGCCTCAGACCCAGAGTGGGGATAGGGCAGCCCCCCTCCCCACAGAGTTGCAGAAATGGGAACAGGGAAGCAATGCAGCCCTGTTCCCAGACTCCATCCTTAACTTTCCACTCCCTAGAGCACCGAGGGAGGGCCCACCCCCATCCCAACACTCAAGCCCCCTGCCCACACTGGGCTCACGTCATTAGGAACCAGGAACTCCTGGGAACTGGTCTGAGCACTGGGATCCAGTCCTAAAGGAAGGGAGGAGAACCCAAAGGATTGGGACAACCTGGGCATCACAACTGAGTTCCCTCACCCCATCCCTGATCCAAGAGCCCAGGAAACCCTGGGAACCACAGATTGTCCAGACTCCAATGGCCCTTGGTGACCATACAGTCTCATCCCCTCGTTTTACAGGTGAGGAAATAGAGACCTGGAGAGGGAAGGGGGTTGCCCAAAGCCACACAGCAGATTATTCTCAGAGGTGTGATGAGATGTCCAGTGTTCCCCCCACGATTCACTGTTGCCGCTCAATGTAGACCCCATGGGCTCAGTGGGGTGTAATAGGAAGAGTGCCAGATTTGGAATCAGAGGGACCTGGGTTTGAATCCTGCTTCCATTTACTGTGGGTATGACCTGGGACAAGTCTCTTCCCCATTTCTGGGCCAGGTTCCTCTTCTATAACATGGGAAGTAGCGGGGCATAAAACTAGCTGATCTCTATGGTCCTTTCTAGCTTCACAGCCTGAGAGTGACTTCTTCCCAGGAGCCTTTTGGACCCTAGGAGGTTTGGGGCCCAAAAGCTGAGTGGATCCTATTTGTAAAGGCATCTGGCCCCTGCCCCAGCCCCAGGATTCACTCACTCACCTGGTACCACACTGGGTGAAGCAAAGGGGACGGGATGGCCGGACAGCTGTTGGAGCTTGCTGACCTGACCAAGGAGAAGGGGGAGGGAGATAAGAGGGGAGGCTCTTGATCTTGCCCCCACCCCTGGCCTTAGCCAGTTTTCCCTCTGCCAGCTTGCCTGGCCCTAGCTCTGGGAAGGGGAGAGAATATGGAGGGCATGAAGAGAGTAGGGGTAAGGGGGCCTGGCCCCACTCACCTCTGCTGGAGTCACTGTTCCATACTGGCCCTGAACAGAGAAACCCTGTGTGGGGAGGGAGGCAGTTACCATGGTAACAGCCAACCTCCTTTTCTCTCTGCTTCTCCATCTCTCTGGAGTAGTGGGGGCAAGATGTTCAGGCTGCTGAGGGGATGTTTGGGGAATCCAAGTGTGTCCCCCTACCCCACCCCATTCCTTGGACCCACAAATTTCCTTATCCCCTCTTTCCCCTTCCCTTGTAATCCCCCCTACTGTACCCCTTCCTCATTACCTGATTGGCGGAGAGCAGGACGGTGCCCAGGGAGAGGCTGGGGTGGTAGGGGATGGTAGCTCCTTTGGGAGGGGACTGGAGGGGATGGGGAGGGGGGTATTTGGACAAGGTCCCCAGTGACCATAGGACCCTCCACCCATAACCCAGCTGACCCCCATAACATCTAATAACTCCCCTATGCCTTGCCAATTGTACTACTGTACCTCAAAACCTCATTAATCCCTAAATCCTCATTGAGGATAACCCCAATACCTCACTAATCTCCTACTGACATTCAATATCCTCTCCCCACCCACCTCTATGAACTTTTCTAGGAAATTACTCTCTGATTTTCCCTGACCATCCCACCACCACCTAGGACAATTCAGAAACCCCCCATGCCATATCCCTCCCACCCCACAGACACCCACCCCACAGGTATAGAGGGAAAGCAGGTGCCCCATTCCTGGGACCTTGATATCTACCCTCACTTGTGGGTGCATAAGAGCTGGTGCCCAGACTCAGCTCATAAACTTCCTACCCTCACTTTCTGGGATCCTCCTCAACCATCTATCCCTCCCACCACCCCTATTCTCCACAACCTAATTCATGACCTCTGACACTGCCCTCTCGGGTCCTAAGCTCCAGCATCCTTCATCTCTCCGTGTCCACAGCCCTATTTCCAGGACAAACCAGCAGTAATCCTCAGGAGGATAGGGGTGGGGGCAGGAGGAGACAGAGAAGGTCCGCTCAGTCCAGTACCTCTAGAATCACTGCACAGATCTGGCGAACACAGAGGATGATGGCATCTGGGACCCCAGAAACGGTGACTGCCCGCTCTGTGGAGTTGGGAAGCAAGTCTCCAGCCACCTGGACCTGAGCCCCTGTAGTCTGGGTCAGGAAAAAGGAATGACTCAGACCCTTGCTGGCTAAGATGGGCGTGGGGGACTCCACCCAGGCCCTCCATTGGGGGAGGTCAGGACGTCTGGATTCCCCCGTGGCGGGTATGGGGTTGGTAGGGAGCAGAGAGAGAGAGACATCATCATCACCCTGGACAGGGCGGGGAAGGCCAGCTCCTCCCTGGACTTACCCCAAGAGGGCTTCCATACCTCTCGGATTTCCTTAATCTTGGTCCCTGCTTTCCCAATGAGGGAACCACACTGACTTGCTGGAATGACCAGCCGAAGGGTAACTGGGGGCTTAGAGATGCTGCCACCATTTGGGGGGCCTGTACATAAGTCCTAGAGAACAGGGGGGAGATAAGTCAGTCATCCCCCCCCAAAAAATTACACACCCCATCTCGAGGCTTCATCATTTCCATTATTCTCTCTTTCCTCAACTTTGAAAATGCAACTTGATTCACTTCATCCGGGAAGATTTAATTAATATCTGACTGATTTCTTCTTTATTTTTTATCCTCTCAGGACTAATGGACTCAGGGCCAGATACTTGGGTTGACATTTGTTCATGTTGTCTTAAAAGAATACTCAGGGGGTATTCTGTCTCCCCTTTAGACTAGGGGCTCCCTGTAGGTAAGGACCTGATCTCCCCTTCAGGTCAGGGGTTCCGTGAAGGAACCCGGAGGAGAGGGACTGAGCCTTCTTCCCCTTATACCACCAGTTCCTGAAGGTAGGGGTCCCATCTCCCCCATTCAGCCAGGGCCTATGTCTCTCCAGCTCCTGCCTCTGTGGCTCAGTGCCCAGACTAGGTTTCATAATTCAGACGTCCAACGCCCAACTCTGGGATGTGGGGAGGTGGAGCAGAGACAGAAGCCCTGGGGCCCTGGATTCTGGTAACCCACCTCATCCAGTTTGAAGGCAATCATGGACACAGCATGGAAGACAGCGCCCGTGGAGCCGGTGATAGTGGTGAT